ATGATCATTGATTCATTTAAAATCAATGATCATGTTTGTTTTTTTTTGTTTCATTTTAAATTCATGTTAATGATGATACAAATATAAAACATTCCAATGATTTTAGCTAATAATTATTGGTTTGTAAAAAGAATCTTGTTTTTGTTCCAGATGAAAATTTTGATCACTGATTGATTGATTGATTGATTAAAATGCCTATTTTGTTTGTTTGTTTATTATCAAGGATTGTATCAAAACAAAATAATTTTTATCAACTCTATACGATAGTGACATGTTATGACATGACATTGATCTTGATTATTATGAAAGTAAATGGCCAAATCCTTTAAATGAGATTAATGAAAAAAATTTTTTCTTTTGATTTTTCTCTTCATTCCCCATCCCACACGCACGCACGCACACACACACACACACACACACACACACAAATTCCATAACTTTTTTTTAAACTGAAAAATACAATTTCACGTGATTCAACAGACAAAAATTTTAATAAACTTTAAGTGGAAATTGAAAAGAAAAAATCAGATCAAAAATGGAAAGTTTTATTTATTTTTTTGTTGAAAAAACCCATTAATAATGATAAATTTAAAGTGTTCATGATGATGATATTTATCAGGAGAAAACAAAAACGGCAATTCGAAAATGCAACAATCTCCACACACGTTTTAATTTGAAATGGTCCATTTTTATCTCTATGAAATAATGGAAATGATGATAAAATGGTCATGATAAATTCAAATATAATAATTTTTACTACGTTAATCACAATTTGATATAATAATAATGATAATTAATTTGATAAATTCACCTCCATTCAAGTTATTCATCATGTATGTATATACGACCTATACGATTTTTTTTTGTTTGTTTTCGTTAGTTTTTTTTTCTCTCGTCATCCTGACAGTGATCAACTGTCAATCATCGTCAGCATCATTTTTTTTTTTTTTTTTTTTTTGGAACAAAATTTTGTCATATTTTTTTTTTTATCTGAAAATTTCCGAAATTTTTGAGAAAAAAAATTCAAAAATTTTGTTTTAAACAGGTTGCTTGTTCATTATCATGATGATGACGATGATAAGTGCTGAAAATTTGTTGACAAATTTTTTTTTTATAAAATGTCAACACAATAGCAACAATGGCCTTTGTGTTAATATTTTGATAAAATGATTTTTTTTTGTCATACAACTGGATTAGTAATTTATTCTTAATCGCGTAGGCGCGTGTGCGTGTGTATTTGTGTGTGCAGGTGTATGCATCTTTCACACTTTAGAATGATTTGTTTTGAATAACAACGAAAAAAAAATCCAATTTTATTTATGCAACAAGTTGGCGAACAACAATAATTGGTTTTTTATATGCAATTTTCGTTTTCGTTTTTTTCTCTGAATATAAACACCAACAAAAAAAAAGAATAAAGGTTAGCAACAACAAAAAAAGGTTTTCATATTCAAAAAAAAAAACAACACCATTTGAAATGTTAAGCAAAATAAGAAAAAAAAATTCGATTCACAAATCTATCTAATGCACACACACACACACACTTGGAAATTTTGATTTGATTGAATGAATGAATTAGTGTCACTAAAATGTCACTGATTCATATATAATGTGTGTGTGTGTGTGTGTGTGTGAGTGTCAGATCAGAAATTGAAATTTTTCAATAACAACAACAAAAACGACGATATATTAAACGGCAATTTTCATCATCATCATCATCAATTCTACATTCGATTGTGATTAAACTTTTTCTTTTTCTTAATCTTGGCTTGTGAATCTTGTGTTTTGTTGTTGTTGTTGTTGTTGCAGTTGTTGTTGTTGTTGTCAATCCACATTATCATTATTACATAAATTACCTTAATGAAATGATGGCGACAAACAATGTTGAAAATGTTGAAAAGTTAACAAAAAAAAAAAAAATACAGACAAGATATCAGAAATATATGGGAGGAGATCATGAAACGAAACGATACGAAAAAATATTCAATTGTTTCGATTCATTCACTAACAATCATCACAATCACAAGGAGACTAGATTTTTGTTTTTGTTTTTCATTTGCATATTTTTTGTTTTTTGTTTTTTTGTTTTTGTTTTTGTTTTTGTTTCAATTCAAATCAATTGGTTGACAATAATAATAATAATAATGATCGAATTGTTTTGTTTCAACTAACAATTTTACAACAACAACAACAAGTGATGACAGTTGAAAAATTGTTGAAAATTTAAGAAAAAAAAGAAAGAAAAAAATGGATCAACGATCTTGTTAAAAATGTTTGAAAGACCAAAAAGTAGTGTGGGAACCATACTTCAAATTTTTTTTTTGTTTTGTTTTGTTTTTGTGACAATAAAAAAAAAAGAAGGTGAAGGTTATTGGAAATCCATCGATCGATCCTGAAGAGGGAACAAAAAAGGAAAGGAAAGGGGTGGAGGGGACAAAAACCAAAAAAAAAAAAAAAAATGATTCCACAATCTAAATGATTCAAAAAAAAATGAACGTAATTTTTTTTTCTTCTTCTTCTTTTCTTAACAATGTGTTTTGTTCGTGTATTCACATAATAATAACAATAGTTTGAATGATATCGAGTTCAAACACGTGGTAACAATTTTCATTTTCATTGTAATTTATATAATAATAATAATAATATAATATATAAAACGACGCATATACACACGAATTGAATCGACAATGTTTTTTTTTCATTTTTTTTACAATGATGATGATGATGATGATTTAAGTAAAACGAAAATGAAAATATAAACCGTATATATATACATACATTTATATGTGTGCGTGTGTTTTGCGGTTTTCCTCTTTAACGTTTTAGATTTTTTTTTTCCATTTGTATGAGCACGATTATATTGTTTTAAAAAAAAAAAAAAATAAATTCACATCTCATCATCATTTATCATTTGTGTTGGTCATCATGATCATCATCATCATGTTCATCACACACACACACACACCAAAAAACAAAAAAACAAAACATGAACAATCAAACTATCCATATAATCCATATAATGTTTGTATTTCTTTTGTTTTTTTTTTTTTTTTCTGTACATTATTGGAGATATGATCTTTGTTGTTGTGTTATTTTTTTTTCTATTGCTCTCCAGGCACGTGTGTTTTGCATCTTTCTTACATTTCAAATGCTTGTGGATTGGAGAATTTATTTTTTTTGCTCGTGAAATTCATTTTGTTTGTTGTTCTGATTCGAAATAAATTATTTGTGGTTACCATTTAACCACACACACACACACACACACACACATATATATATATTATTATTTTCAAAAAAAAACATGAAAAATATTAAATATTTGAAACACAATCATCATGTGATTGAAAATGAAGAAAAAAAATTTATTTTCACGATTAAAGCTAGAAAAAAAAACTGAATTTGGATTGTATCATCATCATCATCATCTTCTTCTTCTCTAGCAATTATTATTATTATATTTAAATGGATCAATCATCAATCAATGGTAGTGATTAATGATGATGTTGTTGTTATGGTATTCATTTCTTGCAACATAATTTCTTTTGATTGATATGGGTGAAATTAAGAGGGAAAAAAAATAAAAATTGCATCAAACAAAACTAAAAAATTGAAATTAAAATGAAATTGATTCAAGTGCTTGACAGAAATTGAAATAAAAAATAAAAAACATTATTGTGACGATTCATATATTCATCCATTTTGTATCAAAAAAGACACAAAATCAGGATAGACGATCACATTGCTCTAAATCAATCAATCGATCAAATAATCAATCACAGAAATGATTTAAAATTGGCTGTCAATTGGCTGTTTATGGCCGATAACATGGGTTTGTCTGTTTCTTGTTCACTTTTTATGCAATAAGTAAAAAAATGTTATTTTTTTTGTAGTAACAAATTCAATGTGAATTTTTCTTCTTACAAATACAAATACACACACACACACACACACACACACACACACACACACACACACACACACACACACACACACACACACACACACACACACACACACACACACACACACACACACACACACACACACACACACACACACACACACACACACACACACACACACACACACACACACACACACACACACACACAGATTTGGCATTCAAATATTTCCCCCCCCCAATTGGATTAATATAACACCAAAAACGAAAAATAGATGAATAAATGAATGAAAATCACGCCATTTATAGTGATGGTGGTGGTGAAGGAGACGAAAAAAAAAATTTCCAATTTGACAGTTAATCATCAAATCGATTATCAACTAAATATGCCATGGTCATTATCACCATCATCGCCATCATCACCATCATCAACAACAACAACAACGACAATAGTTGCTTGCTAGCCAACAGCTAGATAATCAACTTAATCACTAAAAATAATATTGAAAAATAATGTTTATGTTAATCTTAATAACCGGGAGAAAAACGGTCAATGTTTTTTTTGTTGCAGCATTTTAATCTAATCAAATGTCAGTGTAGGAATTCATTAGGAATTCACACAAAGAGAGAATTTTTTTTTTCAATGTCAAGATTTTGATATTTTTTTTTCTCCCCAAATCTGTCTATGCAAATGAGTATCTCAATGTAATAATAACTGTGTGTATGAATGAAAATTTCAATCAACAACAGAAACAAAAAAAAATCTAGACATTCCAAACTTTTTTTTTCCTATTTTATCATTCAATCATCATGTAATTCATATATTTGATCACATGATCATGATTATTTTTTTTTTTTTTTCGTTTCAACGATGAATATAAAATCCATTTTCTAATCATGGACACAAAAAACAACGGTAACAACAACAACAACAACAACAAAAATTCATTCAGGGCGAGGCAATTGTCTAATAATGATAAAATTGAGAGTGAAAATACGACAAACAAAAAAAAATAACGCAAATCAAATAAATTCCAAAAATAGCTACATACATACATACATACATACATTTCATTTATATGGTATACAACAGAACAACAACAACAAAACACACATGCATAGGTCGTCTGCCATCATCACAAATGTCACATACGCCCGAAAAAAACCTTGATAAAACCAACAAAACAAAACAAAAAAAAAACAAAATTAAACTGAATAATGAAAAAAAAAGAAAATTTATTCAATAGATTGGTAATCATTTTAGAATTTGTTCAATATAATGAGATGATTTTGCAATTTCGAAAATGAAACAACATCATCATCATCATCATGGACACAATATTGTGTCCATTGTAATTACGATGATCATCGATTATGGAAAAAGGAAAAAAAACAATTTTTTTTCGAACATACAACAATCGATTCATATTAATCACAATTAATCCAGATTCGTATTTTTTTTTTGGCTTATCATTATTATGTTTCTTAGACTCTTTTTTTTATTCAATAAAAATAATGGTGATACAGATGTCCATATAGAGTCTATATCATTGTGTATCCATTGACGAAATATGGCCACATAGAATATATGATGGCAAACAACAACAAAAAAAAATCCTGAAATGATGAAAATCAATCATTCATTGAACAATGGCCAACAACAACAACAAAAATTCCAATGATCAAATAATAATCAATTCCAAATGTTTTAATCCACTGACATTGATTTCGAAATATTTTGTATATTAATAGGACACAGTTGATTCATTTTTTTTCATTTTATTTATTTAATTTGTCAATTAATTTACATTTTTTTTTTAATAAAAGAAAGAAAAAGAAATTAGAGTTCCAGAATTCTGGATATGGCCGTAAGGTGGCTGCAGTTGTTCCTCATTTATCATTTGGCTGATTCGTTGTATGTATGTGTTGTACTCATCATAATCATCATCACATGGATGCCTTACAATATCAACAAGTGGTAAGTTTTGATTTCATATACCTATTCACGTATATATAGATGATTTGTATTATTAAAAATCAAACTTTGTTATTATTGATTTTGTATGTTTAATATGTAGATGAAAATAATGGCCGACAATCGACATGATCGATTTGTCGATCATTCACGTACAGATGATCTATTATATTGGTTCCAAAAACAGCAAACATTTTTAACTGAATGTGGTGCTACACATGTCGGTGTTACCGGTGATGATGATATATTCGTTATACGTGATTTATATTCTTGTATCGATATCTATGGCCGACAACAGATTGATGAATGGTCAACAACAAATTTGACAAATAGTAATAACAATAATGATTATGACCATCGTTTACCTATTCAATCGATACCAATTGTTCGACAGATAAAAGTGATTACATATCGCTATGTTGGACCAAAATCGATTCGTCATTCATCGTTATCATATTTAGCTTTATTAATCGAGAAGAAACAGATCATTCGCCGAAGACAAATTCTAATTTATCCAAATTTTCCAGCCAAAAATGTTTCAATTATGGCTAATTATGAACATTTTAGACCTGCTGGTATTTCTCGTGATATCGAAATGGATATCGATTCTATCGAAGCTAATATTATAATCGAAGATAAAGAATATTCTGATTTACGTACCATTGCTTGCTGTCCTAATGATGGCCATATTGCCATTGGATTGGCCAATGAACCGATGATTTTGATCTATGAGCTTATTATTGTTGATCAATGTCGATCCATCATAGATTTCATACGAATCAAACGTATTCGAATTTCATTTATAGCCGATATTATTAGATTTAACTCAGGTTATTGTGCCTATATGTCTAATGATCATGTTCAAATCATTCGAATTACAGAATTTAATAAACAATCAAAACATGAAAATTCAATTGTCGACAAAAAAATTGTTTACAATAATCTTATGGTAAAACCCGGTCAACATGAAATATATGGACCAATGACACCAAAGGCATGTCCATTCAAGATTTACAATGATAATGATTTGAATGATGAATCAATCGATGCGGGAAATGGCCACGTGTTTTGTCGAACACTAAATCCGGCCATATCGTTTGATTCAATTCCATTAAATCGTCCAATACATCATTCATCAACATTGATTGATGTCAAAAATTATTCGAACCACAACAAGAATTCACAATATCTTAGCTATCAGATTGAAATGGAAAACATCGATAATGACATTATTATTGTTTACATTTTATGGAATGATCATTTATGGGCTTATGCAATTTATTTGAAACGAGATCCAATGCGTTTGATTCCAATATCAAGCCGTAGTTTAAATGGACGATTTGTTAATTGTTTCGCTGTCAACATACGACATGATGTCATCTATGTGTTGGGCAATGATGGCCTATCTATCTATGCTAGTCATGTACATAATTTCCTTACGAAATTTCGATCGGATACAGTTCCATCTATCAAACGAATGTTTTTAATTGGTAAAAATCAATTTTTTGGTGCACAATCAATCATCCAGGGCATGGCATTCGTATTGTTGGCTTGTATGCCAAGTACCGGTGTATCGACCATATATCTATTGGATAAACCAAACATACGTTCATTACATGATTATTGTCGACATTCAATTCGACAAATTAATAGTGACCATGATCAGTCCGAAGATGTTATCATTCCATTAAAAATATTGGCCGAAATTTGTTGGAATCCAATTACGACCAAAACACGACCATATGATCGAAATTTACTTGATCGATTAATCGGACAAACAATTCGACGAATTATATCCACCATCAAAAGTGATGATATTGTTATTTTACGTCGAAAAGTTTTGGCTCGATTATTCAATTTATTGGCCGATTCTGCTTATAATGCATTGATTAGTTTGTATGTCGATGAATATTTTGATAGTTTTATCACATATGACGATGATCAGATTGTCATTGAAAAAACTGGCAACAAATTGCCAATTCTTGATCCTAAAATTGTAATCATAGATGATCAATGTTTTCGTTACTTTCCAGCTATATCTACAACAATGTTGATTGATATTGAAAACGATACATTACCAATGCAGACAAATGAATTGAATCCAAATGATCGTATATATCAGTTTTATTATTATTTATTTGGCTTACTACGATTTAGTCTACAATTTTCATCATCATCATCATCATCATCATCATCTGGAAATGATTTGAATTATTGTAAGCAATTATTTGCCGAATTACGATATGAAATTGAGCAACAATTTTTATGATGATTAAAAATGTGAAACAATCATACTGAAACAGCATCGCCCCCTGACGAGCCAGTTGTTGGTTATTTTGAAAAAAAATTGATCAATATTGTCCTTGACGATATATCATCAAATGTTGATGAATAAAAATGTTAATGAAGCAGAAAAAAAAGAACGACGTCAATACATTTTATCAACATGCTCACAAGTGTGATGAATTGAAAACCAATCTTTCTAGTCTTTTTTTTTTATTGAAAAAAACAATTTTCAACACGTTTTTCTTAATTTGATTTTTTTCCAAATTTTTTTCTATTCATTTTGAAAATTTTAATAATAAATTAAAAATTCAAAAAATGTCCCCTAAATGTGTCCATGCTGCAGTTGGTGCATCAATATTAAATTGTAATTTCATACGAATACGTGAAGAACTGCGTGAATTGATTGATGCTGGTATCGATTTTGTACATCTGGATGTTATGGATGGTAATTTTGTTGATGACATTACATTTGGTCCATCGTTTGTGCTCAATTTGATACGTGATTTTCCGTAAGAATCTTAGTTATTATTATTATTGAATTTTGATTTTTTTTAAAGAATTAAATCTGATGATGAATTGTTGTTCTTGTTTATAGTGAAATTACATTCGAAGTACATATGATGGTTGAACATCCAATGAAATTTATTAAACCAATGGCATTGGCTGGTGTTAGCCGTTATATATTCCATTATGAAGTGACCAAAAATAATTGTCCAGAATATAAATACAGTGTTGAAGAAATAATCGAATCAATACGTGCATCAAATATGAATGTTGCATTGGCTATCAATCCAGAAACACCGGTACAAGTAGTTGAACCATTTCTTTGTTTAGTTGATTCCATTTTGATTATGACAGTACAACCTGGTCTTGGTGGACAAAAATTTATGGCCAATATGATGCATAAAGTTGAACATTTGCGTTCATTAAAACAATCAAAAATGATCGATATTGAATTGGATGGTGGTGTTTCTTCGGCCAATACTGATATTTGTGGAAAAGCCGGCGCCAATCAAATTGTATGTGGTTCAGCATTGTTACGATCAACAAAAAAACATGAAGATGTACTTAAAATGCGTAGTGATTTATATTCAACAAGTGATTAACTATATTCAAATTGAAATGAAAAAAAACCAACTTTCCAAGCTTTTCCATAAATTTTATTTTATTTTATTTACATTTACATTTATTTCCAATTTTATATCAATGTTTACTCAAAAATTTTATGTCCTAAAATAAAGAATATATTCGTAGTTCAAAGCAGAATGAATATACAAATTTCCGGATGTTGTTGTTTGACTTTTTTTTTGTTTTAGTCAAATAAGAAAAAAAAACATTTATAATCAGAAAAATATTTTCAAATTGAATAATAATCAAATGTTGCCAATTAAATTTTGATAACAACAAAAAAAATGTATATGAAAAGAAAAATTTTAAAAATCCTAATTCAATGAAAATGGAAATAAAATATTCATGATGATGATGGAAGCAAACGGAATTCCTCTTTTAGTTTCCAATATTTGTCAACACTTCTTTTTCGTTCATTCTGTATGGAACAATCTGATTCTATGGTAGCCATATTTATTAACAATTCACGGAAAGAGGCTGATTGATTGTTACGAATTCGTGGACGAAATTCTTCTACAATAGTATCGGTGGAAACACGACCATTATGATCACGTAGAAATTGATAAAGATCCATTGCCAATGTTTTATATTCATCGAATTGATTCGGCAATGGCAAATTATTTGAAACATTTTGACCGATAAATTTGTTGGCTCTTTCCTGTAAAATATTGTTACTACTTAAATTTTTTTCTTGATTCGATGATAGTGTTTTCAATCTAGGTTTAATTAAACTTGATAATCTATTATTGCTGGATGTTGTTGATAGTGATGATGATGATGATGATGACGAATGCTGACTAAAAATCTGTTGTTTAAGATTTTCGATTGCCTGTTTAGCTAGTTCTTTGGCTTCTTTTTCTATGAGTGAATGGTCTGGAATTGGATTATATTCAATTCGGTCATGTTGAAGAACACTTTCGACTGATCGTCCAAAAATTTTACTTAGAATATAATCTTCATTTTTATTCGATTTTTTTATCGAATCTGAATTTTTAACTGTTGTTTCGTTGTAATTTTCCTTTTTTACCAGATACTTTATTTGATGTCCTTCGAAATTAGCAGAATTGGATTGTTGTTTCTTTTTTTCGCTCAATATTTTCACCTTAACACCATTAGGACGATTATCGATTACATATTGAATATCTGTTGATTTATTTTGAGACAATGATTCATTGGGATTTTCCAATGAAGAATCCACTTTACTATGACTTGATGATTGTGACAATGATTCAACAGCATTTGAACTGGATGAACAAGAATTTTTTTCAAATTGTTTCTGACAAATCTTTTTCACCTGTTCACGTAGTTCTCGTCGCCGTTCTTCAGAAATTTCAATCTTCACATTTGACCAATCGATAAGTTTTGTTTTATTTCGATTACCGTTATCTGAATTATCATAAGTTTTCTTTGGTATTTTTGGCAGTTTTTTGCCCGGAGATTTTTCATTTGTTGATGATGACGATTGTTTCCGAAGTTCATCGAATTTTTATGATTATTCTTTCGATTTAATTTGACTTTTGAATCATAGAAATAAAGACCAGTTTCACTACAGTCACTTAATGTAAACAATTCACGCATATTGTTCATTTTTACAAATTTTTGATGTTTAGGATCACGAAGAATTCGATTACTTAGATATTGTTTGAATATTTGTCGATGATAGATTTTTTCTTCCACTGTACCTGATGTCATCAAACGATAGATAATAACATCACGCCGTTGGCCAATACGCCAGCAACGTTCACGAGCCTGTATATCGGTACATGGATTCCAATCCGGATCAAATATAATGACACGATTGGCACCGGTTAATGAAACGCCAACACCACCAACTCGTGTAGTCAATAGAAACACGAATTTTGTTTCATCTTCATTGAATGATTTAATCAAACTTTGTCTCATATTAATCGAGGTTGTACCATCCATACGGAAGTAACTGTATTTTTTCTTAATCACCCAACGTTCCAACAAATTCAACATTTGTCTACCCTGAGTGAACATGAGAACTTTTTGATCTTGTTTGTGCCTATCAAAACGTATAATTAACAATATTATTATCAACGATGATCAATTAGAAATGTCACTTACCATAGTTTAAGCAAAGCATTTACTACAACCATTTTACTAGACATTTTAAAAAAATCTTTGTCAAATTTACCATCTGGATTACATTCTTTTGAAAACAAATATGGATGATTACAGATTTTACGTATATTAACTAATGCCTTAAAGATTGAAGCTTTTTGCATGTCAATTCGAGCAAATGCTTCTGAATTGATATAATCTTGATAATACTGTTTTTGAATATCGGTCAATTTACAGAACAAAACTTGTTCATTTTTCGGTGGCAATGAAAGATTATTTTTGATCTCATCTTTCGTTCGTCTAAGTAGATATGGTTTGATTAAATCACGTAAAACCACCGAACAATTGAAACTATCTTGAATTTCTTGTTCTGTTGCATGGCTATAACCACCTTTTTTGATGGCCATACCCAAACTTTTCATAAATGAATCTAATGAACCAAGTTTATTAGGAAATACAAAATTCATCAATGACCATAATTCTGTGAGATCATTTTGAATGGGTGTACCGGACAATATTAATCGATGACAGGTTTCAAACTGCATTTAGAAAAAAAAATCATATTTAATAAAATAAAATTGATATTTTTTCATGTCAAACTTACAAGTTTACAGCATTGAGTAACTTGTGCAATTGGATTTCGTATTTTATGGCCTTCATCCAGTATAACATAATGCCAATTTTTCGGTACCAAATACTTTTGAAAACACACAAGTGATTTGTACGATGTAATCAATATGCCATTCGTTTGGATTATATCATTCACCAATTTAGTACGGCTTTTACCTTTATAAGAACCACTTTGATGTAAAACAGCAACACGAAAAGGTGGCCACCATTTATGAAATTCATTAACCCATTGATACATAACCGTAGCTGGACATACAAGCAATACGGGTCCAAGATATTTATAACATTCACTTACTTCGTATGATTTAGAGAATGATAATGAAATAAGAAATGAAATTACTTCAACAGTTTTGCCTAGGCCCATTTCATCACCAAGTATTCCGCCACATAGTTTAATATGCAAATCACACATCCATTTAACTGCATCATGTTGATATTCATATAAACGTTCCCAAACACGTTTTGGTATAGAAAAATCTTCATTAATCCTATGCAATTCTTCATCGTTATCATTAGATGATTCATCATCATTGGATTGTAATCGGCTTGTTTCATATGCCGCAATACGTTCACGATAAATTGTAATATCACCATCATCACGAATACGATTTCGTCGTACATTATCGATAGCTTTTGAATCGTCAATTTTTTCACATTTTTTTCTCGAAATTTCGATATTACAATTATCGGGAGCCTCTAAAAATCTATCTACATCATCATCAAAATAATCGTTTAAATCATCAACATATGATGGACCATCATCAGGAGTAAATTCATCATCATCATCATCTAATGGTTCAATACCAGAAGTTGAAGCATCTTCTTGACTACATTCATCTTGTTCACTAAGTTCAACGATCGATTGTTTTTCATCTGAATTATCGTCAACATCATTTTGTGAAAGTTGTTTTTCAGAAAATTCATCAACATTCTTTTCTATTTGATCGACAAATTTTTCTTCATAAACTGAATGTTGATAGGATACAATACCGAGTGCTTCTAGTTCAGATTTTTCTCCACTGAAAGCCAAACCAATTGTCTTATCTTTGGATTTTGGAATAAGTGTCTTGTCCAGATTGATTTGAACACGGCCATCATCGGATTCGTTGTGCTTACGTTTTTTTGTCGTTTGTAAGCTAATATCATTGATGTCATCATCTGAAGAATCTAAATTAATAACTTTATTCGCACTAAATTCATCATCATCATCATCATCGGGATTAATCATGTTTTGTTGAGCAAGAAAAAAAAACAAATAATAAAAACCCGATGTGGATACACGCAAACAAACAGCTGTTGCCTTTTTGGATCCAGAATCCGAAGATACGAGCGCCATCTTTTGGCTAACAATAAAAAATCTTCAATTTAAATCGAGGATCCTTATATAATATATGGATGAGAAAATTTTCTTACATTGAATAAGACATATATGTGTGTGACTTATGATTTTAAATATAAAAATCGATAAAATTTTTGTTTTCAAATGTGCAAGAAATGAGAATGAAAAAATTATGAAAAACTTTCGTTCAATCAATATATCTGGAACAGTTTGAACAAAATGAATGAAACACCACACACACACACACACACTCGATATATATCGACAGCCACAAGATGTGTTTTGACCTGTTTTTTTTCGATATTCATAATTTTTTTTTCACTTTTTTTTTGTTATTATTGTCGTCGTCGTCGTCGTGTCTAAATTAAGTGTGTTGTCCACAGTGAAAAAAAAAAATATAAAACTTGTTGCTTTTTGTTTCTCTTTGTAATTTCGAACTTTTTTTTTTTTTAATTGTCTGTGTTTCATGTGTGATCATCATCACCATCATTATTGTTATTGTTTTTTTTTTTTTAGAAAAAAACGGTACGATTGGTCTCCAAAAATCTGTATGTCACAATTACACAAAGATTCAACTATTAATTGAGTGATATAATTCGTAAACACAATGAAGCTATTAAAGATGAATGTCAATCTCATTCGAAAAAAAAACACAAATTGAATTTCAATGTTTCACAGATAGAATGTAATAATAATAATAACCTCAATTAATTTTACTCTTGTTCTGTTTGTATATTGAATTTTGGCCAGTGTTCATCATCATCATCATCATCATCATTATCGCCATTATTATCATTGTTTTATTAATTTTTTTTTCGTTAAATTTCTCAAAAAAAAAATTTCGATTATAAAAAAATAATCAATTTTATGCCTGAACGCTTGTCAATTTCTAATATTATCCTATTTCAACCCAAATAAATTGGTTATGATTGATTCGTAAAATTAGTGATGAACTGAAATCCATAGAGATGTTAAAGAACAAATTCAGAGCTATGTTTAAAAATTCTGTCAATCTTGCCAGTCAAATTTAACGATATTTAAATGCATTGTCAAAACTAAGATAATGGTTACAGGCAAGGATTTCAATTGTGTTATTATGGGATTCATCGTGTTGGTTGAATCACTATATATCTAAATGAGATAATTTTTCGTTTGTATTGGAAAAAAAAGCTAAATGATTGTGATTGATAATAATAATATTGATGATGGTTTGATTTTTGCTAAGATCGTTGATCATTGATGAATGAATGAATGAATGAATGAATGATGATGATGATGAAAAACTTTTTTGGCCATGACAATGTCTAATATTGTCAATAAGTCATTTGGTACCGTGCGTTACTTGGATCCAATTCAAACAAAAAATAAAATAAAAACAACTTTAACAACAATAATACAACACAAGACAAAAACAATAAAAACTCAAATGGATCGATCAATCAATCAATCAATCAATAGATCATTCATTCATTCATTCATTCAATCGGATTGATCAATTTATTAGACTTTGGTCCTTTTTGTACATATATAGGTATATATTGTTGAAATCGATCCACTCTTTTCTTTTCTCATTTCAATGACGTCAATAGCCATCAATGAAAAAGAAAAAGAAAAAGAAAAATTTAGCGACAGTTTTACAGTCGGCTGATTTCAACAATTTTTGCCCATATTAATTCATTGTTGTTGTTGTTGTTGTTGATGATGATGATGATGATGATGATGATGACTATGGCAAAAAAAAAAAGAAGAAAAATGTGTCTTTATTGGCTGCTTGACAAACGAATCGCATCGACAAAGAATAATCGGAATAAAACAAACAAATTACATCATTATGCACAAACACAGACACAGACACAGATAGATTCGGTTATGAAGAAGGTAATGATGATATAACAATGTAATCGCCCATTTATTTGAATAAAATTCATAGCCAAAAAAAACAAAGAAATAAATTAATTCGCCAATCATTCTGTGATTTTTCTAAATGATTATCATTTTGACATGTTGTTGTTGTTGTTGTTGTTATTGTTTTTCCAAAAAATGATAAAGATATATTATCTTAAACTTGGCAATCGATATTTGAATTTATTTTTCCCCACTTTTGAATTATATTTGTTTATAAAACTGATTCTACATCGATTAAAATTCACCATGTCTGACATTTGGCAATGTCATTTTAGTGATTTTTGAATAAATTTTTTTTTTTATTTCTTTTCTATTTGATGCTGTAATATTATTCAACATTTTTGATCAATCAATTGATTGATTGATTGATTGAAAATGTTTGACTTTCGTAATTATATGGTTAAAGCATCAAGCAATCAAATCGAAAACAATAGCAATGTATTTAGATGGGAAAGAAATTATCGAAAAAAAAAGATAAAGGGTTTCACCCTTGAATCAATTCAAACGAACAATGGATAAAAGATGCGACAATAAAAAACAAAATTTTTTTTTTTTGATAATTTCATTGAAAAACATTTTTCAACAACAACAACAACAACTACTCATATTACATCAATGTCGTATGAAATATTTCAATATGGTCAATGGTCAATAAATATAGCTTAAAGCAAACTCTCACTTATCGTTTTGTGGACAAAATCCTTGAAACATGGCTCGAATACATACACACACACAGAGAGAGAGAATATGCATATGATTTATTAACAGGATCCAATACATCTATTGATGGATTGAATAAAAGAAACATTTATCTATGAAATAGCTTTTCATGTTAATTCTCCTTGTTTTTTTTGTTGTTGTTTTTCTATCGTCTAAATTGGTATAATTATTAGCATTTTTCTAGATGAAATAAATCAAATGTTTCTATTTTTAGTCAAATCATCATTGTCATTGTCAGGATTTTTTTCCTTTTTTTGTTCGATTATCATCGGGTAATTATCGACATTATTAACAACAGTGAATGAAAAAAAATACCCGTATATGATTCCTGTTGGAAAAAAATGGAAAATTAATTTTTTTTTGTTGTTGTTGTTGTTGTTGTCACCAAGCGAAAAAAAATTGTTTTTTTTCTGGTTATTATAATTAACAATTGGGATCACATATCTATCCATCCATCCATCCATCAGTCGGTTCGTTGATTTTCCTGCTTTTTTTTCTTATTGATAAATAAATGAATTTTGAAAATTTGCCAAATGGTGAAAAAAAATAACAACAACTTCAACAATGAAAAACACGTTTACACAACAACAACAACAACAACAACAACAACAACAACAACAAGAATTGTGATTAAAACCATATAATAATAATAATGTGAAATCAACAATGATAATTGATATGTTATAAATTGATTGATTGATTTTTTTGTCTAAATAAAATGAATTCATGTGTTACAAATTTACACATAGACAGACAAATAAATAAATAAATAAACGACTGAAATGATAGCCAAGTTCAATGAGAAATGGAGATGAAGAGAAGAGAGAGAGAGAGACAATTAATCGTTTGATGAAAATTGAAACAACAACAACAACAACAAAGATGGTGAGAAAAACATGGAAAATTTTTCTACGAAACGGAAGTATCACATTTTCATCATCATTGAAAAAAACAGTGGAAACAAAAAACAAATCTATGCGAATAAATTGTTAAATATGAGAAATGATGATGATGATGATTATATGATTCCATAACGTATTTTCTTTTCCATTTCCTTTTTTTTTGCCAATAATTGAAATTTTGCTTTGTTTTGCTTCGTCGCGATGATTGCTTTCGATGATTTCAAACCCATCGCGAAATTCGCTTTCAATTTCGAATGAAAAATCCAGAATTAATTTCGTTCGATCATTCCCATTATACGAAATTGAATTTTCGTTTTTCTAATTTCAATTTGATTCAATCATCATCATTGAATAATGGTGTGTTTATAGCCACTCAATGAGAGAAATGATGATTGTAATTGGAAATCAATTAAAAAAAAAAAAAATAGTCGAATTGTTTTTTATTTTGGCCATTTATTTTCGGCTTTTTTTCCAACGTTTGTTTGTTGTTTGTCGATTGTGAAGGAATTTTTGGTGCTTAAAATAGCGTTTGAATCTATTTGGCCAATTGTCATTTTTTTTGGGGCCAGCGTCTATTGCTTGTTCTTCTGAATCAGACACCATTGATTCGTGGTATCCGTAATATTGTACATTATTATTGTCACGTTTTTAAATAATTTTTCTCCACCACCACCACCACCATCATCGCCACCACCACCAATTCGATTATTGTCAACGGATATTATTGAAAGTTTGATTTGATTTGATTAAACTGAAAAATCAGCCACCATTTTTTTTTGTCAATCGACGTTCGATTATTGTGATGAACAAAAAAATATGAATGGAGAATTCGGTTACTTTATGAAGTTTTTTTTTTTTTTTATTTTCTCCTTTTAAAAAAAAGTGAAAGCTTGGTTTGAAAAAAAATAGGAATCAATCAATCATTATTATTATTATTGTCATTGGTGGCGGCAGTGGTGACAAATAATTGCCAAAAAAAATGATGATGATAATAATAATATTTTGGTCTCCCAAAATATTTATTATTAACCAGTTGGTGTCCGGATTTTTTTTTTTTTTTTTTTTTTTGGAAAACGAAAAAAAATTGATTCGAATCGCTGATGATGATGATGATGATGATGATGAATAATCCATCTCATTGGGAGAGAGAGAGAGAAATGGATATATTGCACCTGAGAAAGAGAAAAAAAAATTTGTTTTTCATTTCTGTGGATATATAAATGATTTGGTTTATTGGTTTCGGCTAAAGAGAGAGCGAGAGAGAGAGAGAGAGAAAAAAAACGAAATCAATACCTATTTTTTCCTCATCGAATTGAATTGTCTCGCACACACACACACACACAAACATTCTAATCAACCGATTATTTTTGTAGGTTTTTTTTCTTCTTTATTTTATTTTTTGTCTTTGTTTCATCTTTATTTTTTTTTCTATCCACAATCATGGTGAAGGAAAAAATGAAGAAGAAAAAAGTAGATAAATTATCCATATAGCAGTCATCGTCGAATATATATATATATATATATCATACCCGAAAAAAAAGTTCAGTATAGTTTCGGGTAAACAACACAATCAACAGTTTGGGATATAATAATAATAATTGGTTATTTTTTTTGTTGTTGTCACCGTGTGAAATGGTTAAATGTTTTTTTTCGGGATATTCATGTTTTTTTTTCTTCTTCTTATTCACTGAAATTCTTTCATTCAATCATTCATCATCGTAGAACATTCTTGATTTGATCTAGAATAGAAAAGAAAATAATGAAGAATTAGTTAGATGAAACAAAAAAAAAATAAGACATAATCTTATCTAGAAAAAGTAATGAATAAGTAAAATTGAGGCAATGTCAATCAACGCCATCATCATAAACATCATTATCATTATACATGTAAATTGCCGATTATTTTGATATGCGATATGTCTTCATCTTTGTTTTTGGATCATCATCACCACCACCACCATCATCATCATCATAATCATAATCATCATAAATTGAATCATTATTCATCATCATCATCGTCATCACCATTGTATATATCGATAAGCACGGTTAAATTATTATTATTATTCATAATAAATTTGTTAATTTTATCCAATAATTTTCAACAAATAAATTGTCTAAAAGTTGCAGCCAATTTTATTGATGATGATGATGATGTTGTTGATAGTTATTCATCATCATTATTAAACGAACCAAATACATTCGATGCTGGTTTAATCGATGGTGAATTTGGTAATCGTTATGTTGATCATAAATCATCAGCTGCTTCAAATGTTACAATTGAAAAACCTATTTCTACAGCAAACAGTACTGCTATTACGACAGCAGCTTTAGCAACAATATCTATTGCTTCTTCTTCTTCTTCATCTTCTTCTTCTTCAAATCAAATGTTGACACAACCGATCTCACAATCAACACATATACGACCATCATGGTCAACATTTCAAAAACCATTAAATCAAAGTTTAATTCATACACCATTATTAACATCATTACGGAATCGTACACGACTTAAGAATGTAAATAGAAATAGAATTCAAACAACAAATAAATTTGCCAATCAAACATCATCGTTTGTTATGAATCGTCATGATGGACATAAAATTCCTTCTCTATATACACCACCCAAAATGATGACTGAATCAATGGCCATCGATCCTGAACCACCGGTTTGGATTCCACCAACATCATTAGGTATGTTTATTATAGAATTTAATTTATTAGATAAAATCATCATCATCCAATTAAAGAAGCAAGACCGGCACCAATTGTAGCCGAATTTGGACCAATTCAGGCAAATCCATTGATGGTAGATTTTATGCCAATCGAACCACCTTTGACCATGTATCATCCACAACATCAGCATCATGTTCATCATCATCATCATCCAAATCATATGATAAACACAAATTATCCGCCACCACAATCACAACCACCAACCCTATCACCACCACCACCACCACCACCATCATCATCATTATCATCATCATCCGGATATTCATTGACTGGACCATCGCCATTATCACCATATCATATGGATACATTCGGTGAAGTTTTATATGATCATCATTCACTATATCATCCACATTATATTGAACAATATCATCCTGGAGCTGGTATATTCATTAATTCAAATGAAAATGATATCATCTTTGATGATAGTAATCAAATTCATAATGGTCATGACAGTGATGAAGCAGCAGATACAATGCGTGATCATAATTATATGCTTGAATCTGTACCACCTGTGGCACAGAATATGTTATTCTCTGAACAAAACAATAATTATTATACACCATTCAAAGTGAATTCAATTAATGTTTATAGTGATTATTTAACCGATGATGATGATGATGACGATGATGGTGATAGTGATGATGGCCATAATAATGGTGAACAAAATGATTCAAAACGAAAATATTGTTCGAATAAGAAAAATATTTCCGGTAAAGATGTTGATGATGCAATCAAAAATGCAGCAGCCAAATTAAAATGGTATTCAAGAACAATTGAAAAGAATGCAATACAAACAAAACGTCGTTCACCATATATACCGCATGGTATGTTGGATTCAAAACTTTTTGAATATGCATCCAAATATCTTAAAGATCGGTATGTATTTATTTCAGTGTTTGATGTTTGAAGAGAAAAATTTGTTTTCTGTTTCAATTTTATTTTATTTAGAAAATGTCTAAACAAAATGGATGTCATAACAAAATTACCCAAGATTAATGTACGTCGAATATCATCACATTATGAAATGTCAACATGTTCATTAGAGAAGAAAATTGCATGTGAACCAAAAGCAAAATTTCGATCTATCGATGGATCTTGTAATAATCTCAAGTATGTTTTTTTTCTTATTTTTAATCATTTAATTCGAATAAGCATTTATCATGAACAGATATAAAACTTGGGGTAAATCATTTACATGTCATCGACGATTATTACCACCAAATTATTCGGATGGTGTTGCCGAACCACGTATTGCATATGATGGTGGTAAATTACCTAATGCTCGTGATCTTTCATCACAATTATTACCCGATGTCGATGTTCAAGACCATAAATTAACATCAATGACAATGGCATTTGGACAATTTATCATTCATGATATTGCTCGAACATTACCATTAGCAAATGATATACGATGTTGTCCAAGTAAAAGTGCCAAACATCCTGAATGTTTTGCCATTGACATTGTACGTTCAGATGATATTCTTGTTAAATATTTCAATCAAACATGCATCAATTTTGTCCGTTCAATTGTATGTAATCCATGTGCACTTGGTCCACGAGAACAACAAAATCAGGCGACCCATACGTTCGATATGTCACAGATGTATGGATTACGTTTGAATGATTCATTAGCATTGAGAAGTTTTCGTGGTGGTAAACTTCGTGGTTCATTGACTAGTACATATCCAAAAGAAGAGCTACCACCAAAAATGACACGTGAAGATCCTAGTTGTAATGTACGACCAAAACCACCGAGATTTAAATGTTTTGAAACTGCCGATGGTGTTCGTGCATCACAACATCCAGCATTACAATCATTACATACGGCATTTCATCGTCGTCATAATCAACATGCCGATGCATTATCAAAAGTGAATCCACATTGGAATGATGAAAAATTATATCAAGAAGCTAGACATATTATGATCGCTGAAGCATCGGCAATGATATATGGCCAATATCTTTCGGCAATATTTGGCCGTAAAATGATGAAACATTTTCGTTTAGGTCTGAATAAACATGGCTATACACGTTATGATCCAAAATTGAATCCATCAACATTTCAAGAATTTATTACGGCATCCGGACGTTTTGGCCATTCACAGATTAATGATCGTTTTCGTGTATTGTTTAGTGAGGATAAAACATCATATGCATATAATTTAAGAGATAATTTTTTCGAAACAACCATTGTTAGTTTGGGTCATGTAAGTTTTGTTTTTTTGCCAAATTCATTATTTGATGATCATTTCGATTATGAAAAATTGAAATTTTATTTCATTTCAGTCAGCAGGCGTATTGAAAGGTTTAGCATCCGATCCAACACAAGCAAGTGATAATTATTTTGTGAATGATGTAAAAAATGCATTATATCGTTTACGTCGTGATCGAACTGGAAGAGATTTACCTGCATTCAATATACAACGTGGACGTGAACATGGAATACCTGGCTACGTTTATTATCTTGATTTTTGTTTCGGGTTTGTCATCACCATTATATTATATTTATTTGTGATTATTACATAAACAAAAAAAATACAAATTAATGAAACACGAAAGTATAAATATACAAAATGAAAATGACACACGAAAGACTACTTGCCTTTATCTTTTTCTATGTGTTCATATCATCATCATCATCATTATTTTCAACGATAATTTGATGATGACCGTATTTTTTTTTCTTTTTGCTTGATGTTTATCATTTATTTCGTTACACAACATGTAACAACGTTCAAATAATTTTCATTTTTTTCTTTTGTTTGGCCACAGTTATAAAGTACAACAATGGAATGATCTAGTGACATTTATACCGAAAAAACATGTGAAGAAGATACGACAATTTTACAAGTAAGTTTTTTTTTTGCATCGTCATCAAGTAATTTGGCCCAATCATTTATTGTTGGCATAACACAATGGTGATAATAATGATAATGATGATGATGATGACCACAATTCATATTTACAAATATGACAAAATATTTGGCACATATAAATTTAAAATTTTTTCTTTTTTTTTCTTTTATTCAACTACAACAACAACAATACAATTTTTATATTTTATAATTTAAACAAAATGATGATGATCAATGTCATTCACTTGTCAAAATAGACATTGGAAAGATATCGATCTATTTGTTGGCGGTGTATTTGAACGTCTTATATCGGGCGCTGCATTTGGACCAACATTTGGTTGTATAAATGGTATACAATTTTATAATTTTAAATATGGTGATCGATTCTATTTTGAACATGGATATCAATCTGGATCATTTAATGAAGGTATTTCATTTCTTTTTTTTGACATTCATCAAAAGATCATGTTTTCTAAAAAAAAAAATCATTTTTTTTCACATAGAACAATTGGATCATATACGTTCAGTGGCTAGTCTTAGTTCATTGATTTGTAAAACACATAGTGAAATCAAACAAATGCCATTGAATCCATTTATGCAATCATCACCGCATAAAAATCCAATGATACCTTGTTTTAAATTTCCTGAATTTGATTATGATCTTTGGGAAGATAAAAAAGGTAAAAATGTTAAATATTCAACAACAATGTCGAAACCTGCAACAGTTGTATATGGATCATCACAATCATCAGCATTGTATCCACAAAAATCACCACTAGTAATGACAAAAATGCCACCGGCTATTGGTTATTCAAAAAAATATCATTTTCAATATGCACCGAAAAAATCACCAATAACGCCAAAAATATCATCACTATTGATGACTGATTTTTCAGACCGAAAAGATAATCAACATAAATCGTCATTATAAAAATAAAAAATGCCTTTTTCAACAAGCACAAAATTGACATGAAAACAATGTTTTAATCATTTTTTTTTCTTTTCTTTTCTTTGTTTATTTTATTTTTTATTTTAAAATAATTTGAGGCCAATTTTATTATGATTTCATTAAGCATTGTAAATGAAATTGAAAATTTGTTACATGAATTACTATGAAAAAACAACAACAACAGGAGATAAACAACAACAAAAGAAAAATTCTTGAGTATGCGGCGCATACCATTCATATTATCTTCATTAGATCTTTGATTTGATTGATTTTTGTTGTTAATGACGATCAAAATGATGAGAACTAAATGATGGATTTTTTTTTTTGTTTCAGATAAAAATAAATGAGAAAAAGATAGACTTTTGTATGTATGATAGTGGAGACAATTCAAAAAATAGAATGAGAATACTAATTATATAATATATATTCAATTATGAATCGATCAATCGATTTGTATATTAATATAATTAATTAATTTGATAATTGTTTTTGATATAATGAGGTCCAATATATTTGTTTTCTTTGTCATATCCGATTGATCGATCATTCAGTGGGTTTTTTTTCATTCATTCATTTTTTTTTTTTGTAAGAAAAATCTAACCAATAATTGGTGATGACAAAAATGATCCACCGAATGATGAATGACCACCACCATATAATGATGACAATGGTGATGATGAATATGAAGACGGCATCATCAATAATGATGATGATGATGGTGTTATACCATATGATGATAATGATGGACTATAAGACATTTGTGGATAAACATTAGCTAATGTTTCACTTGATTGTCGTATGCCAATACCGGGATTACCAACAAAACCTTGACCATTACGTGAACCACCAACCATACCAAATCCATGTGGACTACCATAACGTGAACCATAAAAACCGGAATGTAGATTTAATCGTCTTGAATACATTGGCATAAACAATGAACTACCAAAACCACCAAATGGACTGGAAGCATGAACGATTGATATCAACATCAATGAACCGAACAATATGAAAGATATTCGTATGGAAGACATGTTTTGATTTTTTTTGATTTTGATTCAGTTTAATAAATTCACAAATCACAATGAAAAATATGAAATAATTTTTTTTTGTTTTAAATTTATAAAATTATCAAACACACACACACACACACACACGAAACAGACACATAAACGAAAACAAAAATCGTAAACATGAAAATGTATTTGATGTAAACTGACCTTTTCATTTCGTTTGGTTGTCCGTTTTATATCCAAGAGAAAACGTAACTTCCATACACATACATACATATACAATGGATGTATGTGTTCACAACACACACACACACACCCAAATAGAACAGGATAAATTTCGCGGGCTTTTTTCTGTCATATAAACATAATATTATATGGCGAAAAAAAAAAAAACAAAAACAGAAAAGAGTATACGACGATAATAATGGTCATAAAAAAGAGAAACAAAAATGATAATGATGATGATGATGACAACTTCTGTATTTTTATTTTTCTTTAAAGAGACAACCACGAGAAAAAAAAATTTCTTGGGCGTCATCTTAAGATGTTGTTTTTTCCATTTTGTTTATTACGAATTGTTATGAATATATATCGAAGGTTGTTGTCTTAAATATAAATATATATATATCTCGTTCATGTATGTGTGTGTGTGTGTGTGTTGGAATGTGACTACCGGCCAAATGAACAATGATCGATATAAGTAAAAGAATGTGGAAAACAGATATTTTTTGAAACAAGAATTTTATCTCTTAGACAATTGACGTCATAATGTTATTATTATTATATATATAGATTTATTCGTACATCGCACACATTTTTTTGAAAAAAGAGTTTTTTTCTTTCATTACATTTTTTTTTAAGTTCATCAAAACATCATATCAGATTCACACATTCATCATCATATAATTTATGGGTACAGAATGCAGTATTTTTATTTTTTTCATTATATGATGTGTATTTTCCCAAAATTTCTAATAAAGTTCAAGATGTTCAAAACACACACACACACACACACAAAAAATCTAGAATAGTGTCTACGTATGTGTTTTTTTTTCATGGGAAAACACAGTTGTGAAAGAGAAAAGAAAAAATGAATTCAAAATTGAATTTTGTTTTCGATTTCATTATCTTTCAAATGATAATAATAATAATGGTGATTAAAATGGTTAATGATGATCCGATCCATATTGATTCATTAAAGTTTTACAGTTTTTGATATTGAACGAGCAGATGAAAAAAAAAATGAATTTTGTTTAAACAAACAAACACGAAAAAAATGGTCAATGGGACAAAATAAGTCAGTTCCAGGATAATTAATTTATAAAATAGAAAGCTGGTGAAGAGAAAAAAAAATTCAATAAATAAAACAAGTCAAGCGAAATCAATGACCAGGTGGCTGAAAACAAAATCGATAATCGTATATAATGAATATGAACTTTATGAACATAACATGATGATGATAACCGACAATCGTAACGAAAATTCAACAATTAACTTAATTTTTTTTTATTTTATAATTGAATCATTGGATTTTTATTTTGTTTGGAATATTTTTTCTGCTTAATATCTTGAGCATATTGTTTTCATGTTCATGGAATATGATCGGATTTATCAAAATGGAACAAAATTAGTCAAAATAATTTCAAATCTTCATTTTGGTTTGTATGGGCATCATCATTAATTGGTAAAAAAAAATGTCAAGGTTTTTTTTCGTTCGTTCATATCCATATTATGAATCCAATTGAAATTCTTAAACTTATCGTCAACAATTTTACGACAAACATTAAAAATATTTAATAAGATAAAAACATGGAATGAAACACGCACACACACACCAACTAATTCAACTAATTAGAGCCCTATTTTTTTCTGTATTAATTTCTTGTGATTTGTAGAAAAAAAAACAAGGAGCATCTGTCCGTTGTTCCTATGTAGGGGAAAAAAAGTGGAGAGTCATAGCAAAAAAAAAGTCAAGTATTTGCTTTGAATTATCTAGAACGAAGAAAAAAAATGACTATATAGCCATTGCTTTTAATTTTTTTTTCCACCATTCAATTCAAGGTTAAAACACACCTGTACTTGATATAATTTTTTTTTATTTCTCATTTTGGGTGTTGATATCGTGTCAATGAAAAAACAGAAATTTCATAAATCTAAAAAGGCAATGGTGGACATCACGGGATCCATTTGGGAACGAATGAATTTTTTCGTTTTGTTCATTAACCATGATTATGATGATCGAACGATGATGATGATGATGATGATCGTTGGTTGTTGTTGTTGACAAAGGAAGAAAAAAAAATCACTTGAATTAATTGATGGAAAGTGAAAGAAAAATTTTTTTTAAATGATTGATTGATTGAAATTGACAACAACAATGATTGGATTTTTTTTTGCCATTGCTATTGGCAAATTTTATAAATCAACAACATCATCATCAACAACAACAACAACAACAACGACATGGAAATCAAGATCATAATTTTATAAGATTCTGAAACGATGATGATGATGATTTAAAATTGACCATCATATCATATTTATTTTGATGGTCATCATAATCATAATAATAATTGATGAACGTCAAACAAATTCTTCATGATTTCGTTGCCAATTTATATTGACAAAAAAAAATACCAATATGAATTGAATAGAATGAAATGGTGATTTAAATAATGCAAAAAAAAAACAAGAAACAAAAAAATGATCATCATCATTCAATATAAGCTTCTAACAGATCCATTCTGGATTTCGTAATATTTCCATTATAATATAATAATATAATCATTATTATGCAAAAAGCAATAAAATAGGGAGGAAAACGAAAAATTCCAATATTGAAAAAAAAAATTGAATTGAGAAAATCTAAATATATTGTGTGTGTGGATGTCGTTTCGAGGCCAAGACATTGAATCTGCGTGCGGTGTGTGTGGATGAATGAATGAAATGTAACAAATCTAAATGGAAATGTGAAAAAAAATGTATGAAATTTCTTCTTTTTTTTAGAATTTATCATCACTTACTTGATTGTTGTTCGGTGATTAAAAAAAAAATTCCAAAAATTGTTCCAAAACATTAATGTTGTAAACAATTTTTTCTTCTTCTTCTTCTTCAAAAAATTATATTCCATCCATTATGTTTATGATTTTCACACAGCAGGCTGTATTTGTCATCAAATATTCTTATAATCGTTTGTCATCGTTTTACGTTGGAAAAAAAACCATCCACATCCACATTCTTTTTCTTTTTTTTTTTCTTACATTTATTGTCAACAATCAATGGATCGATCATCACGTTTTTTGATCATCAATATATTCGTATTGCCATAAATAATTTTTTTTTTACAAAGATCTGAATTTGGATTGGAATTAATTGGAATTGAGCAAAAAAAAAATTGTTTTTGTTGTTGTTGTTGTTGATGGTATTGGAATGAATAAAAATAAATGTTAATTTATTGATTATTGATTGATAATGAAAAAAAAAAAAAAATTTCTTTACGTCACTGACATCTAGTAAATGGAAAAATAAATGAAACTATACATAGGTATTGTGAAAATTCTTTCAGGTGATCATAATCAATTTTTTTGCTGCTGCTTTTGACATTTGAAATTTTCAACAATTAATAATTGATTTTTTTTTGTTGTTGTTCATAGTAAAAATTATAACCACAATGAAACACTAATAGCATCGAACATTAAGATGGCAATAATGGAGAATGAAATGTTCGTGAAAATAAAAATTCCATATGATGACGATGAAATAATAAATTTCGATCAATTCATAATAGATTCAAATATCATACACGTGATGAATGAAGTCTGTAACGAAAACATTGATGAAATAAATAAATCAAGGACACGCACACACACACACACACACACACATTGAATATTTACCATTAGTGTATCGAACATGATTTTGAACATTTTGTCTAATATGAATGTAAATCAATGATGATGATGATGATGATATGTCAATATTTGATACATACAAATCGATTGCAATAATTGAATTTACAAATCAGTAAAAATAAGAAACCTTCGAATACCAATGATTTATATTGATTGATTGATTGATTGTTTGAATGAATAAAAAGTTTTACACTCGTTTTATCTACGCAGTTTATTTCAACGACCACAGATGGCATTAGCTTCGCAATTGGTGAAATGATTATTTTAAACATTTCAACATTGAATTTGAAATTTAAAAAAAATTGAAATGAACATTACATTTTTATTTGAATGAGAAAAAATAAAACAAAAAAATCGTGATTCATTTTTCACACACACACACACACATACACACACACGGCTAGAGCGATGAAGAAAAAAAAATCCAAACTGAATCTAAATATTTTTTTGTTCGGTTGTATGAAAGTAAAAAAAAACTAAATTTGAATAAAATTTCGGTCTGTATTTTATTCACACACACACACACACACAAAACTACGACGAGGACGACGATGATGATGATGATGATTATCGTCGTCGTCGTCGTCGTATCTGGATGATAATCGTTAGTTTTTTTTTTTTTTTGAAAACCATCAATTGAAATGTAATCAAATTCGATTTGTGGTTCACAAAATGATGAAAATGAAAATGTTTCTTTTTGTTAATTCGTTCAGTGCAACGAACGAACGAACGAACGAACGAACGAAAAAAATGTTGATCAACCAAAACGAATGTAAAAAATCATTCACATTTATTCACACAATAACACACATTCACACATTAATATTTTTTTTATATTTTTTTTGTACATTTGTAATTCAATTCAAATCGATTCATTCAAATTTTTTTCTCCTTCACGTAGAACGTGTAAAGGAAGAAAAAAAAATCTCATCATGTCAAAGGTGAATCATCATCATCATCATCATTTGGTTATTTTACCATAATTGATGTTTTCGAGTAAAAGAAAAAACCACGAATCAATTATATGGTACCGTAAATGTTTTTTGTTGTTGTTGTTGCCGTTGTTGTTGTCTTCATAAAGCCAATCAGCAATCAACTATAAAATACTGATGAATGAATGTTTCACTCTCACTTTGTTTAATTTTTTTGGTTCCTGGATTTGGTCATTCATTTTTTTTGCCTTTATATTTAGACCGCCTACACATGAATAGAATAAAGATGATGATGATGATGATGATGATTAGTCTGAAGATACATCCGTTATCGATGATATAACCCTACAAGATAAATGAAAAAATACGAATCTAATTTATATATACAAAATAAACATTTCAATGATTTGACAATTCTACTTTTTCAATCACTATGATATTTGTTCAATGATGATGATGATGATACCGGTTTATATATTTAAAATATGATGTTGGTCATTGCCTCAATATTATTATTATTATTATTATGATTGGTCATTGGCCATGGTCATCATCGTCATAAATATAAGATCAGTTTGATTCGGTCGATTGAATATCTACAAATCATCATCATCATCATCATAATCATGATATGACATGAGTATATTAGTATCATCATCCTTAAACTAAAGTTCGGTATTTTTTTTATTTTATTCATTTTGATATTACATCTTATACACACTTGTTGGATGATGATTATGATGATGATGATGATGATTCTTAATACCATATAACCTAAAGAGATTGGCTTATACACACACACATACATACATAAACACACTGTTGGTCAACATACATATGTCCAATTAAATTCCAATTATTTTCCAATCAAATTCTTTATATATATATTTTTTTTTGTTTGTCGGCCGTTCATCTTTTTTGTTGTTGTTGTTGTTGTTGTTGTAATGCTCATTCATCGTTGTCCGGTTTTTAATACTAGCGTATTCTTATGCACTTGACTTTTGTCAGACATTCATGAATTCAACACACACCTCCCTCTATGGATCTTTGTAATGATTATCAATGACATTTGACAGTGTGTATGGAGAAAAAAAAATTCAATTCATTTTTTCCTCACTGATTCAATTATTTGCAATCAAAAAAAACATTCTCAATTACACACACACACAATAGTTGTATGACATAATTTTTTTTACCGTAATGAAAAATCTAATCAATCAATCAATCAATCAATCAATCGATCAATGAGATAAGGAAATCTATCTGTCTGTCTGTGTCGAGTTTTAATTCTCATTATCATCATCATCATCATCATCATCATCAATGGCAATAATTTTTATCCAGAAATTAATATTAATGGTCATCATGTTCTACACATATATATGATGGTGATTTGTCTTAATAAATCAAATTTTCACACATAAAATTGTCTGTGTGGTTTAGTTTTTTTTTGTCTGTAGTCTCTCTCTCTCTCTCAATTCATATTGCAATTTTTTTTTTGCTTGTCATTTTACGGTACACACACACACATTTGTTTTTCATTTTATTCAATGTTATGATTCAATATGAAATGAATCTAAAAATAATCTTAAGAACCTCATTACCATCATCATCATCATCATCATCATCATCATCGTCATCATGATAGCAATTCGGTCGGTTTAATTAAGAGCTACCTGTATTAGTGAAGAGAAAAATTTTTTTTTTTTCAATTTTCATCACATTCAATACATGTTGTTATTGTTGTTGTTGTTGTTGTTGTTGATGATGATGATGATGAACATAATCGTCATTGACCTGAACCGAGACAAATATCATCATCATCATCAGAAAAAAAAGGTGCCAGAAGATTTGTTTAAACTTGATGATGATGAGTGGCTAGTGATTGTGTGTGTTTGTGTGTCTATGTCTATGTTTTAAGCAGATTCAAAGTAATAATGAAGTAAAAAAAAACAAAAATATAAAACTTGCGGTATTTCTTTCTTAGATTTTTTTCTTCTCTTATCTTCAAATCATCATCAATGTTGTTTATGTATATATACGGTCTAGGGTATAATGTCTGCATGTAATTCATTCATTCATTCATTCATTTTGACACTAATAGTGATTGACGAGCTCTTCTTTTTCTTCTTCTTCTTCTACTAGTTTTTTTTCTAGTTCTTTGATTCTTTTGAAAAAAAACCCAAAAAAAAAAATATTATCCACAGAAAAAAAAAGTATCCGAACAGACTGGGCAAATGAATTGTATTTTGTTGTTGTTGTTGTTAATTCTAACAGAAAAAATTTTCTCATCTTCATACTTTTTTTATATATATATCTATATTTCAACAACTAAAATATGAGAAAAAAAAGTTCATTTTCATTCAATATTTGTCAAAAATTTTATTATTATTCATTGATTATTTTGATAACAATAACAACAACAACAACATTAAACGAAACAATAACGATCATAATGATGATGATGATGATGATAATGAAAAATAAAAGTCAAACAAATATTTACATTCGTTTTGTTTTCTATTTTTTTTTTGCTCAAATTCTCTTTTATGTTTTATCTTTCCAATGTCGAAAGAAAATTATTGATCAGTGTTTATCCACTCCATAGCCAATCAATACAAGATGATTATTATTGAAATTCAGTACTAAATCCAGGTTAATCATGAATTGCCGAAACAACAAAAAAAACATTATCAAAAATTCTCGACTAGCAAATTATAAATTAGGTAGATAGATGATGATTGGCCGCATCAAGTACCAAATTTGTCAATACAATGCAAGCACTTACAGAGTGTAAAAATTGTGTTTACTCACAAACAACCGACATAATGATATAGAATAGATAGATTTGTATATTTTGAAAAAAAGAACATTGCATCTATTCGATCATCATCATCATCATCATCATGATGTACTGAACACACAGAACCCGGTAACATGGACAATAGATGATGATGATGATGATGACGACGACAAGAATTCAACGAATTGGACATGATGATGATGAAAAAAAAGAGAAATAAAAACGATGGGATGGAATAAAATGAGATGGATAGAGCAAAAAAAAAATTTCTACCAAAGAATGAAGACTGTTGTCTTTTTATTTTGTTTGTTTGGTTTCAGTAAATTCTGGTATTTGGTATTTTTTTTCTATTCTTTAGGTCTACGATCTTTGTGTTTGTTGTTGTTGTTGTTGTTGTGATCACGCAATAATGTCATCAGACTATTGTAACCCATCATACAACCGACGACGATGATGATGACTATGAAGATGAACAAAACAACAACAACAACAACAACAACCACCACCACCATCAACGACAACAACAACAAAAAGGCAAAACAAAAACCTTTTTCCAACCTTATTTCCCCCCCTCCCTTCTGAAACCGAAATCGAGAAATAGAGAGCGAGAGAGAGAGAGAGGCTACTACTTCTACAATTTGAATGTCAGAAAATGTGATCATTTTTTGCTTCTTTTTTTTGCCATTTTTGTTGGATATTTTTTTCACATCTCATTATCAGTACATTTATATATTGTGTAGTTGTTCC